GCCTTGCTGCTGGTCGCCGCCAAGCGCCGCCTCGCCCGTCGTCGTCGTCGTCGTCGTCGTCGTCGTCGTCGTCGTCGTCGTCGTTGTGGCCAACGTCGTCGTCGTGGCCAACGTTTACAACGTCGTCGTCGTCGTCGTCGTCGTCGTCGTCGTTGTTGTCGTCGTCGTCGTTCTCGTTGTCGTTGTCGTTGCTGTCGTCGTCGTTCTCGTTGTTGTCGTCGTTCTCGTCGTTGTGCGGTTTCCTGGAGTTCGGCCTCTACAGGGCTCGTCGGGCCCGGGGGCGGTCAGAAGTGGCTCTGGGACGCAACCACCCCCGGGGGAGGGTCGGGGCTTCTCGGGCCGCGGATGGAAGAAATCGTGTCGGCGGATGTCCGGGAGCGGGTCCGGAGGTTTCTCGCTGTTTTCGGGCTCTCGGGGCCCTCCCGGGGGCCCCGGGGCGCGTCAGACAACGACGCAGGATGAAAAGGTCGTCCTGGGGTCCAGGCCCTGGGGTCCGCCCCGTTCCCCTCAGGACCCGTTTCCCCCCTGCTAAGCCAAGCGCCTTCGCTGCCCGCCGCCCTCGTCTCACGACAGGCAGCTCGGAGGAGGAGAAGGTACCGATACCGCTACCCTTTCGCCCGTCATCCCAGTGCCTTGCCACCTGGGACGCACTCGTCGTCACCGCTGGAATTTCCGCGGAACTCGGGTCAGAACGCACCCGGGGAGAGGTCCAGGGAGTAGCGGTATCGGTAGGTTCCTGCCTTCCCACTGAACATACGGTGGGGGCGTTCGTCAAGGAATGTGCCCAGGAGGCTTCAGACCCTGGAGGCTTTCGCCCTGAGCGCGCCGTTGCGAACTGCTGTCGGGAGTAAATCCTTTGCCATTGGCTTGCGCTGAGGTGCGCTGAGTGTTTACGGCGCGTACCACGCCCTTCGAGATGCAACGCCTCTCAGGGGGGCGTGACACTTGAGGGGGATGTCCGCATCGCCGTCGCCACGACCGCCCGACTGGGGATACCGCAATTGTTCGTTTGACATTGGCAGAGACGGAGAAACTCCCGATCGAACAATTTATGAGGGCGGTGGTGATGTCCATGGCCAAGCATCGATTGGAGTTCCACCAGCTCTTAGACCCTGGATTCCTTATCCAAGGGTTCCTTATCCAACGCCCTCACCGTAGTTTCTCGGAGGTTCGCACGGACCTCAGAGAAGACATGCTTGTGCCGTTGTATGTCCCGCCAGTGTTGTCAAGGTGGTCGTTCCCATCGACGACGCACGCGCAGCGGGAAGTGAGGTCCCAGCTGTCCTTTGCGAGCGGGAGGCGTTGTTGCGCGCGTCATGGGGTACCTTCTGAGCTTGCAGCCTGATCCGAAGTGAGCCCAGGACGACCGACCATGAACCCAAGCTGGGCTCAAGCCTATAGCTTGTGGCGTTCGGACTTTCGCCGCTGTCCACCGTCGGAGTGCCATCGCCGCCGTCGCCGTCCGTCGCCGCCGCCGCCGCCGCCGCCGCCACCGTCGCGGCGCCGCCGTCTGCCGTCCGCCGCTGGCGTCGTCGACGTCGCCCGCACGCCGCCGCGCCGCCTTTTGGCGGCCGAGGCGCCCGCGCTGCCGGGGGCCCCGGCCGCGCCCGCAGCCGCGGCTGGCGCGGCGGCGGCCGCCGCCGCGGTGGTCGGCGCGGCCGCCGCGTTCCTCCCCGCCGCCGTCGCTGTCGCCGCGTCGGCGCCGTCGCCATGCCGTCGCCATGCACCGTCGGCGTCTGGCCGCCGCTGTCGCCGTCCGTCGTCCCCGCCGTCGCCATTATGGCCGCCGCCTCCGCCGCCGTCGCCGCTGCCGCGCTTGTCGGCGCGGCCGCCGCGTTCCTCCTCGCCGCCGGCGGAGCGCGGCCGGGGAGTTTTAGTTCTACGCTGTTTGTATCTCGGCCCTTTTGTCGGCGGTTCAACTGTGGGGTCATGAAGGATGTGTCCCAAGGACAGGGAGGGGTCCGAGTTAGACTTGTTTAAGGCACCTCGTCCTTGGGGCTTCCTCCCTCCGAACCCCATCGTTGAACCGCCGACTGTTCTTTTCTGTGTTTCCTTTTTTACCTAACAGCGAAGACTGATAGGTTTCTAATAGGGTCAAAAGAGAGCATCATGACTCACCCGGGGGGGTCTGGGCGGCATCCGGGCAGGGATCCGCGGAAGTCGTTCTAAGCAAACAGTTACACACATTGCGTGGTCTTCGAGGTCCCAGAACTCCATTCCCGGGCCACATTCTGAATGCCCGGAGCCAACTGTAGGCCACTTCGTGCTCTTCGAGTTCCCAGAACTCCATTCCCCGGCCACATTTTGAATGCCCGGAGCCAACTGTAGGCCACTTCGTGGTCTTCGAGTTCCCAGAACTCCATTCCCGGGCCACATTTTGAATGCCCGGAGCCAACTGAAGGCCACTCCGTGGTCTTAGTTCCCAGAACTCCATTCCTGGGCATGATTTTGAATGCCCGGAGCCATCTGTAGGCCACTTCGTGTTCTTCGAGTTCCCAGAACTCCATTCCCGGGCCACATTTTTCCCGGGCCACATTTTGAATGCTGAGACAGGCTGATGCTGAGGTTGAGGCAGGCTGAGGCTGAGGCAGGCTGAGGCTGAGGCCGAGGCTGAAGGCAGACTGAGGCTGAGGCTGAAGCATGCTGAGGCTGAGGCTGAGGCAGGCTGAGGCTGAGGCTGAGGCAGGCTGATGCTGAGGCTGAGGCTGAGGCTGAGGCTGATGCAGGCTGAGGCTGAGGCAGGCTGAGGCTGAGGCCGAGGCTGAAGGCAGACTGAGGCTGAGGCTGAAGCAGCTGAGGCTGAGGCTGAGGCAGGCTGAGGCTGAGGCTGAGGCAGGCTGAGGCAGGCTGAGGCTGAGGCTGAGGCTGATGCAGGCTGAGGCTGAGGCAGGCTGAGGCTGAGGCCGAGGCTGAAGGCAGACTGAGGCTGAGGCTGAAGCAGGCTGAGGCTGAGGCTGAGGCAGGCTGCTGAGGCTGAGGCTGAGGCAGGCTGATGCTGAGGCAGGCTGAGGCTGAGGCTGAGGCTGATGCAGGCTGAGGCTGAGGCAGGCTGAGGCTGAGGCCGAGGCGACGGCAGACTGAGGCTGAGGCTGAAGCAGGCTGAGGCTGAGGCTGAGGCAGAGGCTGAGGCTGAGGCTGCAGGCTGATGCTGAGGCAGGCTGAGGCTGAGGCTGAGGCTGATGCAGGCTGAGGCTGAGGCAGGCTGAGGCTGAGGCCGAGGCTGAAGGCAGACTGAGGCTGAGGCTGAAGCAGGCTGAGGCTGAGGCTGAGGCTGAGGCTGAGGCTGAGGCAGGCTGAGGCTGAGGCTGAGGCTGATGCAGGCTGAGGCTGAGGCAGGCTGAGGCTGAGGCCGAGGCTGAAGGCAGACTGAGGCTGAGGCTGATGCAGGCTGAGGCTGAGGCAGAGGCAGGCTGAGGCTGAGGCTGAGGCAGGCTGATGCTGAGGCAGGCTGAGGCTGAGGCTGAGGCTGATGCAGGCTGAGGCTGAGGCAGGCTGAGGCTGAGGCCGAGGCCTGAAGGCAGGCTGAGGCTGAGGCTGAGGCAGGCTGAGGCTGAGGCTGAGGCAGGCTGATGCTGAGGCAGGCTGAGGCTGAGGCTGAGGCTGATGCAGGGTGAGGCTGAGGCAGGCTGAGGCTGAGGCCGAGGCTGAAGGCAGACTGATGCTTGGGCTGAAGCAGGCTGGGGCAGAGGCAGGCTGAGGCTGAGGCTGAGGCCGAGGCAGGCTGAGGCTGAGGCTGTGACTGCGACTGCCGTTGCCACTGCGACTGTCATCGCGAATGCGACTACGACTGCGAGAACAGCAGAATTCTACAACTGGCTTATCATCTGAATCGTAAGGGGAATGCTTCCAGATATGCTCCTACACATCGCTGTCAGGTTGCTTTGCCGGGATTTGTTTTTGTTTCTCTCGCTCTCTCTCTCTCTCTCTCTCTCTCCCTCTCCCTCTATGTATAGATGTAACTAAGAGGCTAGTCGGTGCGTTGCCTGGTGCAGAATCGGTCGGCGACGTGGCCTCCCGTTGCCTCCCGTGCAGCATCAGCACTAATCTCAGTATTACTGCCCCGTGCATTGCCACTGCCGTTACTATCCATTTTACCCCTACTCCTCTACCTCTATCCCGATCGCGTCTGTCCCATATCCCCATCCCGATCCTTACCCCTGTCCCAATCCTTACCCCCATCCCGATCCTCATCGCGGTCCCCCCATTGCGATCCCCCATCGTGGCCCCATCCTAACTCTGGAAAGCTGCTTAGGGTCTTCTGCCGCAAGAGTGCGTTTTCATTCCCCAAGAAGTTTCTTTCACTTAGAGGTTCGTATTTGTTTTCTAAGGAAGTGGGCCTGTGCGTCGGTCTGGTGGCTGTGTTGTCGCCGACGCCGCCCCGTCGCCGCCTCGTCGCCACCTATCGTTTGGGCCTGTGCGTCGCCCTGGCTGCTACGTTGTCGCCGTTGTCGTTCCATCGCCGCATCGTCGCCGCCGATCGTCTGGCCCTATGCGTCGGTCTGGCGGCTACGTTGTCGCCGTTGCCGCCCCGTCGCCGTTGTCACCGCCCCGTCGCCGCCTCGCATAGACGAGGTATTCAGGTTTCTAGAAAGTATTACGCCCTACCCCCCAGCACTTATCGGTCCCCCCTGCGTACGTACAGTTTACATATGAGTCTGCCCCATCGCCCGTCCGAAAATTGAACTGATTCTATCCTGGGCAGGCCGGGATCCCCCCCTCATACTTTTGCAGAAACATACCATGCGCGCGCACTCGTTTACTAAAAATCATAAGTTTCCAGGAATCCCTTGCAACAAATGGGGCAACGTGCACACGCGAGCGTCGGCGCGCGCGCATGCCGAAGGAATTTTGTACGTTGAAGAAATACAAGCCAGTAACACCATGTTTCGGTGTCAAAAACCAGTGTCGCGACTCCAGAAAAAACATATGGCTTCGCAACAGGGATGTTCAGTCAAAACCTGTTGGCACGCTCTTGCAGGTTCTTGATAAAGCCATAGGCT